CAACAGGAATGCTAGGGCCTACTTAAGAATGCAAATAAGCTTCTTTGATCCTAAGTTTTGGTGTTACTTCTTGGTATTGGGGGTATAAAATAAATGGGCTGGGAGAGGTCACATCATCATCTTCCTGTCTCTTCAGCAGACAGGATGGTGGCCCACCCAGCTCCCAGCTTTAAATCTATCTCTGGGTCTTCTCTCTTTATTTCTAATATTTCTCAATCCCTGGCCGCCTCCGCTTAGAACAGGTTTGTTCATCTCTCTTTCCGTGTGGGACGCAGAAAAGGGAGATCCCTACTGCATCAGGCCCCCGCAATTAGCATACCATACAAAGGTAATCAGAGTCCATATGGGGTTCCCCCAAAGGAAGAACACCCAATTATTTAGTAGGAAGGGGCAATATGAAGGAAGACTTACCATAAAAGGACTTTAGGATGAGTTTATCCTGAGGCCAGTCACTGGGGACAGAGCCCTTTTCAGAAATAGCAGGTAATTAGGTGTATGGGGTTGGCAGGCAAAGAAAGTAGAGAAGGTATTGATGAATAAGAGCCTTGGGGGATTCAGATCAGTGGAGAAAGGATGGACTTGTTAATAAGTGGTGTTGGTTTAACTGAAGGGCCACATGAAATCATTTTTCATACTGCATAATACCATTTGTCTCTCTGACTAGGTCATGAACTCCTCAAGGACAGTGTTAGAAAACCTTAAATCTGGTTCCATTGAACTTTTCCCTACAAAAAATGAAACTATAATATAGGCCTCAGTGGAGTAGTAAAAATCTTCCTCCAAGGAACAGATTAAGACATTCGGCTATTAGCATTTACTCCAGCTTCTGGCCCTCCCTGCCAGCTTACAGGAAATGTAGGAGATAAAGGAGTCTGTTCAGTGACAGACACCACAGGGTACAATCAACAAAATCTAGAATGTGGATACTTCAGATTTGTTCTGCGGCTTTGTGAACACTTTCTTTAACAAATAAATGCCCCACCCTACTTCCCCCAAAGGAGGTCAGGCACCTTTAGATTAAAAGAGACTTGAAAGGCAGACATATTAACCAAATACAATATGTGGGTCTTATCTGTTCCCAGTTTAAAAAAAAAAAAAAAAAACTTAAAAAAACTATTTTTAAACAAATGAAGAAATTCAAACCCTGTGAGGATATTGGATAATTTTAAAGAAGTATTCATTTTATTCAGTGTAATAATGGAAATCTGTTTATGTTAAAAAGAGGAAGCTTTAACTCTTAAAGATAAAGATTGAACTATTTACAGAGGAAATAGTCCAATCTTTGGTATTTACTTTAAAATAATCTCGTAGGAGTGTACAGGGGAAATGGGGGTATAAATGAAACAATATGGTTCATTTGTTAATAATTATTAAAGTTAGGTGACAAGTACATGAAGACTTATTAAACTATTAAAGGCCCAGTGCAGTTCAGCCTGCATCCTCTCCAATCCAGGACCCCTTGGGGAATGTCTGACTGCTGGTGTAGGTCCGATCCAATCAGACATCCCTCTCACAATCCAAGGCCACTGGCTCCTAACTGCTCACTTGTCTGCCTACTTGACTGCACCTAACTGCCCACCCTACTGGCCTGGTTACCCCTAACTGCCCCACCTGCAGGCATAGTCACCCCCACATACCCCCCCCCCCCTGCCGGCCTGGTCGCTCCTCACTGCCCCACCCTGCCAGTCTGTTGTTCCCAACTGCCCCCCCCCCCCTGCGGGCCTGGTAGCCCCATGCAGCCTGCTGCTCAGTCATTTGGTCACCCCTCACTAACCCCCTGCCAGCCTGGTCGCCCCACACAGCCTGTTCAGTCATCCATTTGGCTATTTTGGATGATATGGTCACTTAGTCTTTTATAGATATAGATTCTTGTTACTTTAAGGTAAATTTGAAAATTCCCAGAGCCAGTGAAGGCTTTTTCAGCCAGAGAACATCAAGATGAAATTAGCATCTGAGGAAGTGTACCCCTGGGAATAAGAAGGCTAGATAGGGTGCTGTCCGGAGGCTCATAGTTCCAGGACTGAACTGTGCCATTGGGAGTAGAGGGGAGGATCTGGACACAGACAGTATGAAAGGAGACCCTCAGAACTGGAGAAAGCTAAAGAAATGGGTATCAAGGATGACTCTCAGGTTTCAGGTTTAGATGGCTGCATTCAGTAAGCACAGGAATTCAGAAGAGATTAAAGTTAGGGGTGAAGGGAGTGATAAAGTGATTCCTGACAGGTTGTGTTTGAGGTGCCTGTGGAACATCCAGAGCTTAGGAAAGAGGCCCGCACTGGAGATGGGTTTTGGCCATTACCAGATGCAGCATAATTCCCATGGAAACATGAAAAGTATAGGCACAGGCCCGGAGCAGCCGGGCCCAGAGCAGCCGGGTCGGGAGCAGCCAGGCCCAGAGCAACAGAACCAAGCCTGGAGCAGCCAGGTCGGGAGCTGCCAGGCTCGGAGCGGCCGGGCCCGAAGCAGCCGGGCCGGGTGCAGCCAGGCCCGGAGCAGCAGAAGCCAAGCCCAGAGCAGCCAGGTCGGGAGCGGCAGTGGCCAGACCTAGAGCAGCTGGTTGTGGAACGGACCAGAGCAACAGAGGCCAGGCCTGGAGCAGCCAGGCCCGAAACAGCTCGCTCCTCGCCTGCCCCCGCCCCAGGGCTGCCTCTCAGACATGGCTGGAAACTTTTGGGGGAACTTGAGGGTCTGCTGAATCAAGTGATGAAGGCTTAGATCTGGAAGTGTTGAGTTAGTATAGTGCTGGGGTGTTGATCTGTGAGTGCCTTGTGTTGGGCCTGGAAGAGGTTGGTTGATCTATTTGGAAGTGTCTTTTGTGTGAAGTGTATCTTTGGGCATGTGGAGGTATTATTATTTTGAGAAAATACTAAGTAACTGATTTACTATCTGAAAAATTTAAAGTTCTGAAAGTTTAAGGTCTCTTGCCAAAAAGAGGTTTTAAAGCTAACACCTTAATTTTAATGGAGAAAGGGAATGACAAGCCCTTCCCACCCAGAACAGGTAATCCAATTCCAACCAGCAGCTATGTTTAAACAATGTGTCCATTTATACTTGAATGGCTACACCTTTTGATAGCCTAAGGGCAAGTTTACATGTAAACAAGTTTGCTTCTCAATTCCCAGGGCAGAAAAAAAAAACAAGGTTTAAAATGATTAGATTTTAAAATTTATTCTTAGAAGTGTAAAAGTTTATTAATTTAAAAAACAACAACAACAACAAAAAGGAGATTGAAAAACCTGATGAACAATAATAGCTGTTCATTGTAGTAGAGTCGGCGATATGGGAGGGGAGTGGACTGACTGTTCTGGGGGGGGGGGGGAGTTGGGTGGGGAGGGGGAAGGGAGGGAGGAAGAGACTGAACATAAACTGCACCTATGGATGAGGACAATGGGGGGGTGGGGAGGGGGCTGGGGGGGTGGGAACCTGGTGGAGGGGGGAAGAAATGAGGAACCTTTGTAATAATATGAACAATAAAGATTGATTTAAAAAAAGAAAGAAAGAAAAGGAAAGTATAGGCACAAGAAAATACTCCCGTCATGTGTAGCATTACCAAATTAACAAATTACTTTTGGACTTTTTAACATGAAAACATCAAAGTGGCTTAACCAGGAGAAGAACAGAAGAGAACCAAATAGTAGTATACAATATCCATGCTATTCTGTTTCTCTCAATTTCCATGTTGAACATGTGATAAATCGTCAAGATTTAACTGCAGGATTTCCTTATTTTATTTTATTTTCCCTAATAAATGAGTTTTCAAGAGAACACTATGGCTTTAATACATGGGGGAGGTGTCTCATTTGAAAGATGAAATTTTATCTTTCCTTTTTTACCTTGCCTTTCTTCTATTTTACTCCTTCCATGTTGTCTACAATATTGTAAAAACTGAAGGAAAATGCCCAAAGGGCCGTACTTCAATTTCCTGTCTTTAAAACAGCCATGACTTGAGTTGGCATATGTATCCTGAAGGAGCCACAGAGCCGCTGATACAAAAAAAGCAGTTTGTGTCTGGGATTGATTTATGCCTTTGGAGCAGGACAAGGAGAAGAAAACCCAGCCCAGCCCGTATGGTATCTGTTGCTGGGAGAAGCTCAAGCCATCTGTCAGACTCTAATAAAGCATGACAACAACATTTGGTTTGAAGCACAGAATGATTTTTCCAAAGTGAAAATAAAGCTTGTCTACAATTGGGGCTCCTATATATATATATACTGGAGGCCTGGTGCATGAAATTTGTGCACAGGGGAGGGGGTGGCACTCCCTCTGTCCAACCTGCACCCTCTTCAATCTGGGAATCTCTGGCTCCTAACCACTCACCTGCCTGCCTTCCCTAACTACTCTGCCTGCTTGCCTAATATCCCTAACTGCCCTCCACTGCCAGTCTAGTCACCCCTAACTGCCCTCCCCTGCCGACCTGATCACCCCTATTAACTTTTTTTTTAAATCGCATTCTTTTCACACACAATTGTATTTGACTTCCTCATTAGCTTCTCCCTCTCACACATTTTTTTCTCCCTCCTTTATGTAACACTTTTTTTCTACTGACTCATCATTTATAAACTTTTCTCTCCTCCTTATTTCCTACTTCTGTTCCATTATCCTTCTTCCCATTTCTCTCTTACCCTCCCTCCCCACATTTCTTCTTCTTTTATCTTTACTCAAAATCTTGTGTTGACAACCCAGTTCTAACTCCTCAGCCTGCCATGGGAAGGCTCCATAATTTGGGTTCACCCAAAACCACTTAAATCAGAATGTTGAGAGGTTGGACCCAGGCATGAGTTCTTTAAAAAAGAAATTCACATAAGAACTTCAATCAGGTTGAGACCCCTGTGGTTACAATGAGAGTGAGGAAAAGACAGCTGAAGCGTTTGGACTATCTATGATCAGAAGTAAATGTGAACTATTAAAGTTTTCAGGGCTTCAGGGGGCAGCGATGATGCGTGTGCCTGTGTGTGTCTGTGCATGTGGGATGTACATCACCTTTCTCTGCCTGCTCACAGGTCAACGCCGTGCGAGTGCATGTGAACAGCTCTTCCGAGAACCTCGACTACCCAGTCCTGGTCGTGGTGCGTCAGCAGAAAGAGGTGCTGTCCTGGCAGGTCCCGCTGCCCTTCCAAGGATTGTAAGTGGATCTTTTCCCAAACAACTTCATGACATTGCTTCCGTTCAGTGGCCCAGATCTTAATTGGTCTTTGCCCTGGTGAAAGGAGAAACCTGACATTTGGGATGTTGACATGTGCAAACGCTAATTGTGGAACATACCCTACGTATTCAGCTCTGCTCAATATCCATCCCCTTTGAAGTTCACATGAGAACTCTGCCCAGATTTCTAGCATCTTGAAGAGCTTTTACCATTGTAATTCTATTCAGAATTTTTAAAAAATGTTCTGTAACTCTTGATTAGTTAATGGGTCATCCATTCAGGACAGGGCCAGGCCCAGAAGTCAACCTAAATGAGTGACACTCCTTCCATTCTTCAAAATGCCCATTGAGTCTGCAGTCTTCATTCCATAATATGATTGACCCTGACCAGGTGATAGGTGCTGGAGATACAACGGTGGGGAAAAGATCCTAACAAAGTGTCTGCCCTCAGGGAATTTGTATTTTTACAGAGAAACTACACAAGGCATTATAGGACTATAAGAAGGAAAAAAAAAAAAAAGACATGGATATAGAGTATGAGTTAAATTGATTTTAAAGGTGGAGGAATTTGAGAATTGAAATATTGATCTGGGCTCTGGGACTTTATGTTCCATTTAGCAAAAGCTTGAAGAATGAAAAAAATGGAGTCTCCTGATTGTTTTATCAGGACAGTTTCTCTTTTACAATGTGATAGTTTTCCTCTTTGAATTAGGAGTATGGATTAGTGAAATGTAGACTCTGCCTAAGTGAACAGGTCAGCACTAAACAGACTTCACTTCTCTGTTACTATTTCACAGAGCCCTACACCAAAAACACTGCTTCTAAAATCACTATCAGTAGGTCCAGTCTGACATTTAAAATATAAGGGCTTGAAAACAAATCTGGAGGGAAGTGAATCACAATAAGCTTCTTTCCCAGTTTGTTCATTGAGTCTCTCTCTCTCTCTCTCTCTCTCTCTCTCTCTCTCTCTCTCTCTCTCTCTCTCTCTCTGGCTGATCTTTCCCGCCATTGGCTGCTACAGATACCAGAGGACCTACAACTATCAGGAAGTAAGCCGCACCTTATGTCCCTCAGAAGCAACCAATGAGACAGGACCACTGGAGCACCTGATATTTGTAGATATAGCATCCATGGCACCCCTAGGAGCCCAGTACAAACTGCTGGTTACCAAGATCAAGCACTTCCAGCTACAGTAAGCAGGACTTCCTGGGGGCTTTCTCTGTCCCCTCATCTGTTCTTCCTGTGCGTGTGCATGTTCAACCTAGCTTCCTTCCTTACAGATCAGCACTCCAGGAGGACATTTTTACTGGGCATATTGTCTTAGCACCTTCTGGCCTCTCCTACTCACAGATGGGCAGCAGAGCCTTGTATGTTCTGTGCAGTAGGGAGGCAGTAAGAGACTGGTGCAGAGAGGAAGGGTGGTTGACCTCATAGATGTCTGTTCTCACTGTCTGGGTGAACAGCAGACCCTGAGAACAGACATCTATGAGGTCAACCACCCTTCCTCTCTGGAAAAAAAACAAACAAAAACAGACATGGATATAGAGTATGAGTTAAATTGATTTTAAAAGTGGAGGAATTTGAAATTAAAATATTGATTTGCGCTCTGGGACTTTATGTTCCATTTAGCAAAAGCTTGAAAAATGAAAAAATGGAGTCTCCCGATTGTTTTATCAGGACAGTTTCTCTTTTACAATGTGATAGTTTTCCTCTTTGAATTAGGAGGATGGATTAGTGTAATGTAGACTCTGCCTAAGTGAACAGGTCAGCAGTCCAAGCAGTGTCACAGGCGGCCGGGTATTTTGTATTACTCTCCTGAAGGAAGTTTTGTTTTTGTCTTAAGAAAGACCTTAAATAATTTTCTTCTATACTTATTGCTATTCCAGTTTTCTCCTCCCAGGTTAGGAATGTGCATAGTTAGAAAATATTATGTTATGTGGCTTAGTTCTTTGTGCAAAAACTAATGACTGTTTCCTCCTTCTCCTAGCACTTTCATTCTTTGTGACAAAATCAGTTGTGATACAACAGCTCAAATTGTTTATATTAGAAGTGGATTTTAACAAACTCAGTTAATGGCATTGCCCCCAAGGGATTTGTTCTAGCCCCAAGGTTACCCTTGTAAAACATTATACAAATCTGTGTGAAAATTTAAACAGAAAGGCTAAGGCTGTTCCTTAATGAGACCAGAAACTTCAGGGACTTCCCTGCACTACCTTACTCTGAACTCAAGGCTTTGTAAGGGCTCAAACCATCTTCTCCTCTCTCAGTGTTTTATATATATACTAGAGGCCTAGTGCACAAAATGTGTGCACTGGGGGGGTGAGAGAGGGGAGGGGTTCCATCAGCCTGGCCTGTGCCTGCTCACCCTCTTGCAGTCCAGGAGCCCTCAGGGGATATCCGACTGACAGCTTAGTGTGGCTGCAGAGGCAGGAGAAGGTCCCGCCACCACTGCCGTGCTCGCCAGCCATGAGCCCAGCTTCTGGCTGAGTAGCGCTCCCCGGGTGGGAGCACACTGACCACCAGGGGGCAGCTCCTGCATTGAGCATCTGCCCCCTGGTGGTCAGTTCACATCATAGCGACTGGTCATTCTGTTATTCGGTTGATTTGCATATTAGCCTCTTATTATATATGCATTGGCAAGCTATGGCTCACAGGCTGGCCACTGGTTTTGTAAATAAAGTTTTATTAGAACACAGCGCTGCCCATTCATTTACATATTGTCTATGGCTGCTTTTATGCTATCATGGCAAAGCTAAGTTGTGAGTAGTTGGGCCAAAGACATTATGGCCTGCAAGTCTAGACTATTTGCTCTCTGGTCTTTAAGAAAAACCTTGCCAACTCCTGATATAAAAGAGCAGACACATGATTAATAAATTTGAATTAAACAATTCATTTAGAAAACTGTGTTCCAAAATGATAGAATGCCTAACCTTTTCAACTACATATGCAACATTTACCAAATTTTCCAGGTTCTAATACATATCTTGATAAATTTCAAAGGACTGAAATCCTTTATATTGAATTGAAATAGAAGTAAACCACAAAAATGGCAGAGAAACACACAAATGTTTGGAAATTAAGTAGTCTATGTCTAAATAACTTATGAGTCAAAGAAAAAATCATAATGAAAATTAGAAAATATTTTTGACAAATAATAATGAAAATATGACAGATTTAAACTTCTGCGATGCAACTAATCACTGCTTGATGAAACTGTCTAGCTTCAAAAGTATATGTTAGAAAAAAAGAATGGCTGAAAACCAGGGTGTTAATATCCATTTCACAAAATTGAAAATTAAACTCAAAGAAAATAAAAGGAAGTAATAAAATAAAAACACACAAAAAAAGAAATAGAAAACAAATCCACAGTGGCCAAAATGAGCCAAACCACAAGTTAATTATTTGAAATGACTGGTATTTTTTTATATTAATTTTAAAAATAAAAGTGACAGGCAAGCCAATTGAGAGAAAAAATTGGCAAAAGATTTTAACAGATACTTCACCAAAGAAAATATTCAAATGATCCCAAAACACAACCTCACTAGCTATCAGCAATACAAATTAAAATGATAACAAGATTTCACTACAACTAAAAAATTGCTATAATTTGAAAGGTTTGACAATGCAGCTCCACTCTTAGTAATAAGCCTAACTCCTAGATATATGATTGTGGTATTCATTTAATAGAATACTACACAACAATAAAAATGAACAAACTATTGGTATATTTAACAGGGGGAAATCTCACAAACACAATGTTGAGCTAAAGAAGCCAGACAAAAGGGATCCATACAGTGTGATTCCTTTAATATAAAGTGTAAAAATAGACAAAACTATTTTGTACTTTAGAAGTCAGGGGAGTAGTATCTTCAGCAAGGAAAGAGGAAGTGCATGGTATGTTTTCCTGGTGAGAGTTCATTCAGATATATGCTTATGACTTGTGCACTTTTCTATGTATGTTATACTTCAATAATTTTTTTTAAAATCCAGAATATTTAAACATAGTATCTACTACTTTTTTGGCAGCTTGTTTTCTGATTAGAATATTCTGTTCTATTATAAAGTGCTCCTTAAATTTTTGAAGTCCATTTATAAAGAAGTCATGCCAAAATCAGTTTTGCTTAGTGGACAGATCATCAGTCTGTGGACTGAAGGGTCCCAGGTTCGATTCCAATCAGGGGCATGTACCATGGTTGCAGGCATATCCCCGGTGTGGGGTGTGCAGGAGGCAGCTGCTCGATGTTTTTCTTGTTGATGCTTCTGGCTTTCTATCCCTCTCCCTTCCTCTCTGTAAAAAATCATAAAATATATTGGAAAAAAAACAAACAAATAAAAGAAGAAGTCTGAAGCCAACAGAGGCACTAATAGAAGTCAAATGTTTATCTTGGTCTTCTCTATACCCCATGATAGTGTGTATGCATAGAGACAGATGGACACATGGATGAATGAATGTTTAGAAGGATGGAAAAATAGTCATGGCATTTTTCCAAGTCCTCCATTAATTTTGGCATAGGAAAAGATGACATGGTAATTCAAGAGCAAAGAACCACCCTGCCTCCCACACCCCACCCCAAAAAAGGCAGGAGATTTTCTGGTGGATAAGGTCCACCCAGATCAATTAAATCAGAGTCTCCAGCAGGAGGGTGTGCACATTAGTACATAGTTTCTTAGTTTCCAAGGTGATTCTAATTTGCAGTTGGAAGTGAGAATTAGTATTCTAATTCTACCTTTAAACAGTTTCTAATTATTGTGCTTATGTTTTATTGTTTTAATAATTAAATCCATTTATGATATTAAACAACATGAGAATTCATGGTGACACATTTGATGGAGATGCGAGCACATCACTTGGACAGAGTTCGGTTCCAGCTTCTGCCTGGTCTTTACTAACTGATTTCTGTGTCTGACCTGTCGCTGTCACCTGGTAGCAGTGTACTGAAATTCTGGGCTGGTTTCTTTGAGATTTATCAGACCCTTTAGAGAACTGAATTCTGTGCAACTGAAGTCATAAGGTGGCAACTCTGTGCAAGTGCTAATGAATGATATGCACGCTGGCAAAACTGCACATCTGTTCCCTCACATTGTTTTCTGTTTCCACCTCTTGTATCGGGACTTGACGTCAGGAATCAGATGTTCAAAGCCTTTCAAAATACACACAGTTACTAGGGCTTTTATGAGAATAAGATAAGCCTGGGAAGAGATGGTAACTGAGATATAGAAGACTCTTCTCCCTGGCTCTGGATTATCCCACACAAACCCTGATGGTGACCCAGAAAACCAGGAGGTAATGACAAAGGGCAAGAGCTGAGGGCTGTGGTGAGACCTGGCTTGTAGATACTAAAGAATTAACTCAAAATGTCTAACATTGCAGTTTCTGCTATATGTTTTGACTGGCAGAGTAGAAGGTATGTAAAACACATTCTAGAATTTCTTTTTTCTAGAATCATAATTTTTAAGAATGGAAGGACTTTGGAGAATCTAATATGTTCACTTCATTTTTACAGATGAGCAAGGTGATGCCCAGAGAGGTTAAGTGACTTGCCCAAACTCACCGAGCTAGGAAAGATAAAATCAATACTAGATTTTAGTTCTGAGCTCTTCCCACTATAACATTCTATTTCTACTTTCTGTTTAAAACTATCCTCACACTTTATGTTGCCCTAAATATGCTTCTCAAGCCCGCGAAATACTCGTTTATTGAAATCCAGTTTTAAAATAAAATTCTGCCTTAAACCATTACTCCCTGCCATCTAACTCTCCCCCAGCCACCTCCACACACTCATATACAGAGCTTTGCCACCACTCATTTTCCCAAAGCGAGTGCTCTGGCGAGCTGCTTAATGTGAAGTTACAGATGTGGAACAGGAAGATGTAGGAGCAGGCAGGCACCGGATCATGCTGTGGGAGGAGCCTAGAAGGAGTATTAAGAAATTTAGGCAGTTGTCTAAATTGTGATAGTTGTGTGGAGAATGGATTGAAGAGAACAGACTGGATGCAAAAAAATTAGGACACTGATGCGGTGGTCAATATAAATCAATTATAAGGAGATGAGCTGAAGAATTTGGAGGTAACATTGACAATACTTGATTGGATATGAAGGGGAAGGGGACTGGGAGAGTCAAAGATGACTTTCTAACTTGTAGATGGTGGCACCACTAAGAGAAAATGAGGATTTTGACGAGAGAAGGAAGA